TTACTACGCAGCGGAGCTAATGCACTTGCGTAAGGCACAAATACACTCTTATCTCTAACTTTTGTCCCACCGAGACAACTGTTTAAGAAAAAAAAATGTTTTCTCCTTCGCTTTAAGCAATGGTTGACCGAAAAAAAACAGCGTGCGAGCGCATATTTGGTAAGGCCTTCTCGTATAACGCAGATAATATCTATCACTGTCGTCGGTTTTATCTCGTATCCAAGAATTGGATTTATTCCTAACTGATCGCTTTCATTATGATAATGGCGTTGATAACTAAATTCGCCGCCAACGTGCAAGTTTAGACTAGAAGCCTTCAGTTTCACCAAAACCTGCTCCTGTTATCCATTCCCTAACGCCGTTTGGCTTTGCAAGAATTGGTTGGAGGTGAGTGAAAATCAGATTACAAGAAAGTGCCGATGGAGTGAATTAGTGGACCTCAACTTGTCAAAAAGTGACCCACACACTTGATTTCATGACTTTCCTCTCTGGCACACATAGAATGAGACAAGCAAAATCCAGTTATGAAACTGCAACGGACTGCCACTGACTCTGTTATAATTTTCAGAGACGCTTTCTGTAGCATGTCCGTCATGCGTAGCCCTTTTCATCAACTGATTCAGCCGTTGAGATCTGTTGTAATTGTCATTTGTTCCACCGTTGCAGACTTTGGAATTGGTCGCGCTTATATTATCTATAAATTAAAAAAAAATTCCACAAGAAACACAAACAAAATATACGTCTGTTACAGATGTTGTTTTTTCTTGTCGCCTGTATCGTATCAAATTAATCATGGCTGTCCGGTTATTGTATAGAATCGCGTCTTCATGTTCTCCGCATGCACCAAATAGAACCTTCTGCTTACTTGAACCGTAACTCCAGTTTACTGTATTGAAAACAAATAATTTTCGTTTAGCAAGTTTGTCTCGCTAGATCAATTACGTCTGAGTAGTGAGTTCGATCCTCACTGGGTGCTCCATACTTTCGCATTTGTTACACATCTAAGCTCAGCTTAGTAAATCACAAGCAACGTCAGGTATGTATCGATGAGATTCAAGAATTCCAAGACTAAGCAACAAAGGAAAGCAGAATGAAAGGGCTATCACAATTTTGGTTATTCGGTTTTTAGATTTTGTTTAGCGGCACATCTATATGTTATTTAATGCCAAAATCTAAATACTTTGTACGCAATTTTATGACTTTAGCTACAAATACTTTTTACATAGTGTTATGGTCCAAGTTCCTTGTACCACGGCGATGGTCCAAGTTTAGAACCAATGAAAGAATAACACGAAGACAGGTATGGAATACAAAGATATATTACAACAGAAATATAATACAAAGTATAGTATTAGTAATGACTATTAGATTTGGTTAGAGTGAACTATGTTGTCTCGACAAGTATCACTATTCCAATGTCCTTACAATATGCTCTCAATTATCTCTCCTCATCTTAAAACATCCTCATACCTCTTGAGAGGCGCAGTATTTATAATGTCAGGAATAGTCCATTATTATTATGGGTAAGTTCCCATAACACCCCTCTTCCGAAGCTTTTGCGTAGCAGGGGTTTTTAATATTTTTTCCTCTTTGGATCTATTACCAAAGGTTCTGTGAACTTCCTTTTTCTGGACGATTTTCGTGGTTCTGGCATTGTTTGCGGCCTTTGTATATAAAATGTATCGAAAATCGTATCCATCACTTCTTCCTGAGGTGGACACATAGTTTTATACTTTCAGAGTAGACGTAGTTTTTTTTTTTTTTTTTTTAAGATATATAGCTTATAGGTAAAATGTACTGTTGGTAATCTTTTATTTAAATATCTATTGCTGGTAATTTCACTACAAAAAATCTATGGTTGGTATTTTTTTATAAAAAACGTATTGCAGGTAATTTTACTATAAAATGTATTTTCATATATTTTTAGTGTTGTATTGCTTGTAATTTTACTATAAAATGTACTGTTGATTTTTGTTTAAGGGTTCACTATTTGCCTATAGCTGAAACCCTAACAGGCGCTACCACGCCGGGTGAATGTGGACCTGGGAACAACAGCATAGAAAAGAGGTGGTCTCATGCTCCTCAAAACCTCTAATCTCCTGATCAGAGGCCTTGCTGCCAGATGTAGTCTATCGTCATACCCAGGACAGAAGATAGAATGTATGTCCGTCAACAAGAGAGATAACCAAAAGTGTGAGCTTCGAATTGGAGACATCAGAATCAAGCTGGTACAGAAATATTGTAGTAGACAATGGAAAATATGACACAGAGATCTGGAGTTATTATTGAAATAACGAAAGAAATTCCAGAAATTAAGAAAAATATTGAGAGACAGACGATTTTCTTTAGAAACGAAGACAATTGTTAAACTGCTATGTCATAGTCATCTGTCTTGTGTGACAGTGAATGCTGGATAATTTTCCTGAGAGTTGAACAAGAGACTCGGAGCAACAGAAGTGTGGTTCTCCAGACGGATACTGATAACATCATGGACAGAACTTTAAAAAGAAAAAGAAAAAGAAAATAGAGAAAAAAAAAGAAAGAAAAAAGAAAGACCGGTGATAGGATATTGAGAAATCTGAAAGAAATTATGAAAGAGGGACAAAGAAAAAAAATAGATAGATAGATAGATAAGAGCAGGGATAGATAGATAGATAGATAGATAGATAGATAGATAGATAGATAGATAGATAGATGGGAGCAGTGATAGATAGATAGATACGAGCAGAGATAGATAGATAGATAGATAGATAGATAGATAGAGATAGATAGATAGATAGATAGGAGCAGGGATAGATAGATAGATGGGAGCAGTGATAGATAGATACGAGCAGGGATAGATAGATAGATAGATAGATAGATAGATAGATAGATAGATAGATAGATAGAAACTACTATGGAAAGTGAAAGAAAAAGAAATAAAATGACAGAGATAATAGCTAGAAGAAAGAAAGAAATAAGAAAGAAAGAAAGAAAGAAAGAAAGAAAGAAAGAAAGAAAAGACAATGGGAGAGACAGAAATAGAAAGTGTGACGGAAAGGAAAAGAATTAAAAAAAGCAGAAAGAGAAGATGGAGAGAAAGCGAAAGGCGAAATGAGAAAAACATTCCTGAGGGATAAACAAGAAACTCGGAGTTGCAGAAGTGTGATTCTCCAGACAGATACTGAGACCACCGTGGACAGCAGAACATGCTAAATTCTAAAGATATATGGGAATTAGAAGGACACTTAAATTCAACAAGACAGTTAAAATTTCTGGGAAACATTATGAGAAAAGAGGATTTGTAAAATTTAACATTGACGGAAAGAGAGGACTCACCTAATTAATTTGGGTGAATAGATGACAGAGCTGGGATGAAGTGACATGGTATATAGTTAATTATTACTGAGAGTAACAAATGAGAGAAATTGTGAAGAGTCAAGATCGCCCACGTACTGAAGGGACAAGTGACATTAAAGAAGAACTCCAGTTCACTATCTTCCAAACAAACACTTTGTATTTCTATGTTGTGTACAATCAACGCCCGACCACTACACCAAAACGAGGCTCACGAATTAAGACGGCGCGGTAGTAGTGGGAGTACTGAACGCTGTCAACCATATTGGGACCGAATTATAATTAGTCTAACAATATACAGAATCAAGAATTTGGACCTAATTTGCTGACTGGAATATTTACCTTTCTTGTTAACAGTCAATTTTAAAGCCTTTTATTTGCGACGCTAAATTATTGTTATGCCAAACCCCAAACTAAGGTTTGTAGTACACAATAGAGGTTTCTTCTAGTACGGGGACAATGTAATAAATGCATTTACTGAGGACCGAATTTCACAATTTCAAAGAATTGGACTGACAGACGAATTTGATAAACCTCGTTTCTCGGTCTGAATTCTGAGGCAAACAAACCATATTTATAAAAAATGTCCCATTCTAAACCAAAGAATGTTATTCAAGAAACCAAGACGTGAGAGTATTTCTTTAAATAGCGTGCATACGCTTACACCCACTAAAAAAAAGAATGAAAGAAAGAAAAATGAAAGAAAGAGAGAATGAGAGAGTGAGAGAGTGGGAGAGAGAAAGACTCGAAACAAAAGGAAGAGAAAGAAAAATGAAAAGTACAGAAAATAAGAGAGAGAGAGAGAGAGAGGACTTCGAAAAAATTGCAGCGAGGAAAGAAGAGAGAAAGAAAAATCTAAAATAAAAAAAGTGAAAGAAAGAAATAAAAGAGAAAGAAATCAAATTTTAGAGAAACAGCAGAACCAAGATAGAACAGGAAAGAGAAAAGAGAAAAAGAAACAAAGAGACAGGAAGAAACACTATATGCATCTCTCTCTCTCTCTCTCTCTATATATATATATATAAATATATATATATCTATATATATATATATATTTATATATATATATATATATATATATATAGATAGATAGATAGATAGATAGATAGATAGAAAAGAGAGAAAGAAAGAAAGAAAGAGAGGGCTAGACAAAGAGCAATAGGCAGAGAAAATGAAAAATGAAAAACAAGATTGGGAAGGAAAGAAAAAAGAAAGACAGTAGATAGGATATTGGGAAATATGAAGGAAATATGAAAGAAATTCTGAAGCAAAGAAAAGATAGATAGATAGATAGATAGATAGATAGATAGATAGATAGATAATGAATATATGAGATAGATAGATAGATAGATAGATAGATAGATAGATAGATAGAAATTGCTATGGAAAGTCAAAGAAAGACATAAAATGATAGAGATAATAACACTGGCAGAAAGAAAGAAAGAAAGAAAGAATAAGAGGAAGGAAGGAAGGAAGAAAGAGAAAGAAAGAAAGAAAGAAAGAAAGAAAGAAAGAAAGAAAAGACAATGGGAGAGAAGTAGAAAGTGTGACGGAAAAGAAAAGGATAAAAAAACGAAGAAAGACAAGATGCTGTCTATATATATATATATATATATATATAGAGAGAGAGAGAGATAGATAGATAGATAGATAGATAGATAGATAGATAGATAGATAGAGAGAGAGAGAGAGAGAGAGAAATGAAAGAGAGATCTATTAGGTCTATTTCTTCATTCCTTCATCGAAACTCTTCAACCGTCACGTCCCTCCGCGACCAAGATCGTCCTGTCCATTTCCCCGTGGACAGTCATTCATTCCAGCATCAAAACTATTTCCGGTACCAGTCTATTAATTACCGACTGTCGAAATTCTATTCTAATTTAGAATGCTTTCGGAAACGCTGGCCTTCACATTTTTTTTTTCTGGCAAATTTTCATTTAATTCATTTTACTTTAAATTTCTTTTTATTTTCGTGTTCGTCTATGAAGTCTGAAATTTCTTTTCTCTCTACTTTCGCCATTTGCATTATTTTCCGCAGGTTTATTCAGATCTCCAGTATTTATATCGTTTAAGCATTCAATCGCAACTGGTGGCTTTACACTGAAAATTAAGCGACAGCAAATCACAAAACTCCAACCTTCTTTACGCTTTGGTTTTTTTTTTTTTACGGCATAGCAACACCTCAATGGGTTATTTAATGCCGTCAAAATTTTGTCGAGAGTGAAATTTATTGCTATCTGTTGGTAATCATTTTGTTAAATGTATTGCTGGTAATAATTTTTTTTTCCAAAATGTATTGCTGGTTTTTTAACTATAAAAACCCAGTTTTACACATTCATAGTGTTTTGACCTCAATTTGGAGATCAGGTATTTTCCATAGCTGGGACCCTAACAGGTTCTACAACCCCGGGTCAAGGGTGGACCAGGTAACAACAGCAATTAAAATCTGGTTCTTCGCTCAATCAAAATCTTCAGATCAGAGGTCTTGCTGCCGGATGTATTCTATCGTCATACCCAGAACAACAGCCTTATTTTCAGTATCAAAGCTGTTTTCAATAATGCCAACATGTGGATGGTCCCAACACATCTAATTCTCAGTTACTCCAGTCATAAGGAATTGTCTAAACTTTTCTATTATATCTGAGTCTAGTTATTTTGGATGACTCCTAAACCTTTTTCTAATTGCTATAAAACATTCTGGATGGTCGCAATCCTTCTCCTAATTTCCAGTCAAACTGAATGGCTCTAGTCATTGCGGATGTTCGTAAACCTTCCTTTACTTAACCATTCCCTCTAGTCAGTGTGGATGGCCCCAACCGTCCCTCCATTTTCCATTCCCTTTCAACAAAATTTACTCTATTTTTCATTGGAAAATCCATTGTGGATGGCCACAAAACTTCTATTTTTCCAGTCCCACTAGTCAGTGTGGGTGGCCACAAACTTCTATTTTTCCAGTCCCACTAGTCAGTGTGGATGGCCACAAAACTTCTATTTTTCCAGTCCCACTAGTGTGGTGTGGTATTTTTCCAGTCCCAAAAACTCCCTCAAAACTACTTTTCTAGTCGCTCTTGTGATTGTGGGTTGTCCCAACACTTCTAATTTCCCTGTCTCTCTAGTCAGTTTGGATGTTCCCAAATCTTCCTCTGTGGCACCCTGCATTATTAGAAAGACCAAAAAGAGATATTCATAGAAATATGATTTAATTTTTATTCGGTTTATTAACCAGTTGTTAGTTATTTAGACGAAGAATAATTGAGTTTTGAGAATAATTCTCTAATTGTATTTAGGCGATCTGAAGGGAAGAAGAAGGAAAAAAAAAAAGGGAAAGAAAGAAAAAGAGAAGGAGAAATAGATAATACAAAACCCGGTCATAAGCAAAAACAGGTGTCAAGAGATATCTAGGCCAACGTGCCTGATCGAAATTCACGAACAATAGAAATTGTTAATTGAAAGAATAAAGTTTAGAAATAACAAAAAAAAGGAAGAAAGGGAAAAGACATGAAACTAGCGGATGGACACACGTTCGATTGATAAAATACCAGATATCGGTCAAAACACCTGACCTACTTTCGTGTCCGCGGAATGTGGGAGTTCATTATCAATTTGGAGAAATGGGATTTTTAGAACAATGGAAAAAGAAATATTAATCGAAAAGGGGTGTCATTGAGATGAGAGGTGACCGCTGGAATTGTATACAGATCCTGACCAGCTCTAGGGTTGAAGATAAGAACCCCCCACGATGATAAGTGAAGATATTTTCAATTCAGATAATTAAGATTTTGGCTAACAGGCCTGAGCGAAAAGAAAGAAATGAAAGCAATTGTTTTAGCTCACAGAGGGCGCCGGCAAGACGAGAAAAATTCTTCCTGAAGTCACATCTAATTAGCGGCGGGCTATTTTGACAAATACCACGTATACAAAAAAGACAATTTAAATTTTGTTTTTTTTTTAAACAAGGTGTTTCTTCCCAGAACAAAGCCCCGGATTGACCACGCCCGACCAGAATCTCATTAGCCGAGAGCGGTCACGTGATGTGCGAGGAAAGAGGAGAAAGGACGCTCGACCAGGACCCATTGGTCGAAAACGGTCACCTGACATACGAGAGACCAGGAGAAATGTGTATGCGCCTCCCCCCCAGAGGCACTGTGAGGAAGTAGGGGTGAAAGTAAGAGCGATAATGGGAAATCAGAAATAATGCGACTTTTGGAATTATCAAGAAAACCCTGGCGCCGACAGACCCACCCCAGTTTGTTGCGGCGTCAATAAATGCAGGACCTCAATCGACAGAAATCAGAATTGCGGGGTGAACGGCAAGAGCAGTTGGAGAGCGGACGGCGGGCCTTGTTCATTCGCCCCTTGCGGGCAAGAAGGGCCGGTCCGTTTGGCCCGGACAGGCAGAGAAGTTGCAGCGCTGAAGCCGAAGAAAGAAGTTAGAGTTGCAGCTGGACCGTGGACAGCAAGGGAGCTTGAACGCGGGCGTCGGGCCCGGTTCATTCGCCCCTTTGCGGGCAAGAGAATCCTAAGACAAGAAATCCTTCCAGCCCAAGTCGAAGTGAAGAAAATTTCCCGAAAGCCGATGAGAAGTTCAGCCCCGGACGGCAGAGAGAAGAGTTCAGCCCCAGACGGCAGAGAGAAGAGTTCGGACCTTGACGAGAAGAGCTGCAGGGCGGACGAAGAAGAAGTTACTTGCAGTTGCGCCTAGAAGAAGTTGAAATCAAACCAAGCCTAAGAATAGAAATTCGTCCAACCCAAATCGAAGTGAAGAAATTCGTCCAACCCAAATCGAAGTGAAGAAATTCGTCCAACTCAAGCCGAAGTGAATAAGCTCGTCCAACTCAAGTCGAAGAGAAGAATCAGCCGTGAACGACTGGTAGAGATCAGCGCCCAGTGTTGAAACCAAACCACACCCTGACATGCAAATTTCTAGAGAGTAGGCAACTCGAAGTCTTTAAGTTGTATGGTAGAGGCTTGGTGCCACAGTCCACAAAACGGGTCGGGAAGTAGGAATGATTTTATGTAACGAACATTTAGGTAAAAGGTTGTTACCCTTTTTTATCAGTAATTTTTTGGCCTCGTGAGTTTTTTCTTTTACTTTGTGTTACCACCCCGTCGAACTCAGCTTGCATACGGCCCCAATCCCTGTTTGATCCCGTCTGTCTAAGATCTAATCACAACGTGGGTAGGCAGACCGGAGATCAGTGCAGTTACCCTAGTAACCAGGCGTTGGAGGCGAGTTGGGAACGGCGAGGCTGGTAATCATCTAA